TGAAACACTTATAGCAGTTTGGAATTATATAAAACCAAGCGCATCTCATCTAATTTATTATAGCAGTGTGAGAGATGCCACACAAGTGATCACCAATGATGTTTTTCCATTCGTAAATACCCCTGGGAAAAATTCCCTGGCAGGAATGTAGGTGCACAGCGAAGTCTTCAGCCTATAGATGAATTTTGGCTGTTCTTAACTTAACTTAGACTAGGTCTTTTTTAGCGGGATTTGGCCTTCAGATTTGACATATCTGTATTCACAGTTTCTGACATCATAATTACCTATGGTAATTATCTGTTTGTAATGCTGGGAAGCCTTCCAGTGTGGCCGCCTAAAGATGTTATAAAGCAACATCTCCCTACAGCCTTTCAATGGAGATTTGAAAATGTTCACTGTATCATTGACTGCACTGAGATCAAGTGCGAGAAACCAGAAGATCTCCAAAAGCAGAGTGAATTTTATTCAGAGTACAAATCACATAACACATCCAAAGGACTGATTGGAATTTCACCTAATGTTTGGGCTACGTTTGTTAGTAGCCTTTATGGGGGCAGCATTTCAGATAGAAAAATTGTGGAAAAAAGTCATTTTTTTGACTTGTTGGAACAGGGTGATCTTGTTATGGCTGACCGTGGATTTGACATACAAGACTTGATGGCAGCAAAACAAGCTAAGTTGTTTATACCACCCAAGAGGCAGTCATCTGCCAATCAGTTTTGTAAAGAAGACTGTTTTGAAACAATGAGAATAGCAAATGTAAGAATCCACGTAGAAAGGGCCATCAGACGTGTAAAAGGGTGGCATATATTTGATCAAGTACTCTCCCCCTAAGCATGGCTGGGGTTGTGAATCAAGTCTGGACTGTGTGTTGTTTACTTACTAACTGGCAAGCACCTGCTCTGACTCTTTGTGCAAAATAATGGTCTTTTTCAAATAATGACCACAAAGTAAAGAAAGAAATAACATGATGAATATAAGTACTGTATTTTGAGAGTTACAAATAAACTTCAATGTTATTTTTCTTTATTGCAACAAAAATACATATGGAATTTTATGTTGTGCTCTCTCTTAAGTTAAATTTGAATGAATATTTTTTTCAAATTTCTAGTCTTGAGTTGTCAAGTCATGATTGATCTTTTGCGGGGAGGGGGGTGGAATGGATGGCAGATATAGTATCACGTACAATGAACAGTCTATGAACATTTAATTTGTTGCAGGTTGTAAAATCATAAATCATAATAAGGGACTCTCTGCATGCAAGATCAGTTGGAATACTTACATGTATAAAAGACTTGTGCTAATAATAACCCATGACTTGCTTGATTAGCAATTAAAGTTAGTCGTACTGATCTTGACCAAACTTAAGCCTGGGGTATGCTAATTCGGGTAAAATGTATTGGTTGAAAAATTTCTCAAGGTACTAACTTTTCCTTCCACCATGCCACATTAAAAGGTACTCTTTCCTGAAAAAAATCATTGTTGCTCCCCCTTTCTACAAAATCACACCAAGTTCTCTCTGCAACAAATGCTTTTTGTTGAATTTGGTAGTAATACTGATGGCTTTTGTTAATGATGCAATCTTTGTTACAAATCCCTTTTCTTACTAAGGCCATCTTCGGGGTTTCATTTTCTTTAGTTTTATTTCCTTCACCTCAACCAGCCCCAGGGGGTTCTCACAGCTTTTATCAGTGACAAGTCCATCAGGCGATGCCCCTAGAAACCCATGGCTTTTAGAAACCAAAAAACACAAGACTGGACTTCCAGTCCTTCATGACCATCTTTTTTCATTTTTTCTACATACTGAGAAATGGCGAGTTCTTCATTTTCAATTCCATCTTTCATGGCTTTTGTTTGCATACCCTGGGTGAACCTTAAAAGATCTTTAATAATTTTTATAGGGGAAGTATTAGCTTTATGTGGACAGGCCACTCTGTGACATTTGGATGCTGTTTTTCTTCCAAATCTATGATCAAACCACTTCTGGATGTTAGACTGTCCTTTGGTCTCAGCTTCAATTTTTTAAATTTCCTTGTCTTCAATGAACAGTTTTTTCTTGATTGCTGAACATCTGTCATGTATTTGATCCAGGCTGAAGGGTTGATCTATCAAATGATTTGTGTTCAAGTTTAGGTGAGGTACAGTATCTGTGTTATTGACTGGGTTTGTTGGATTGGCTTGGGATAAGATTGTATTTGTGACACATGGTTTTGTTTGCAGAACAGAGGTACTCTCACCAAGGCTGAAGGACTGATCTTGAAACTGATTTGTGGTCATGTCAACTACAGTGTCCGTATTGTTGGCTGTGTTTGTTAAATTGACTTGAGACACTGTTGTGTTTGTTGTACATGGATTTGGTTGGAGAGCAGAAGTATATGCAGTAGTGTATGTGGATGTAGAAGAAGCAGATGTGATATTAAAATCTTTCATTTGCATGTGTAGGACAGATCCTTTAGCAACAGTACCAATTAGAGCATTNNNNCCTTATAGTTATGCTAGCCTTATGCTCACCTTTCATAAAGGACTTTCTTGTTACCGCCTTGGTTTACTCGCCTACATTTTAACCAGAATTTTAACTGGTTTACAGTTAACTTAGAAATTTCTGAATCTTTGAATGAAGCTTCCAGTATATCTTCGGGTGTCAATTTGACATTTTCAATATTTAATTGCTCCATCCTAAAACTTTTTCGAGAGTGATTGTTTATAGAGTTTGTATCTACCACCAGGTGATGCGAAGACCGAAGGGCCGTTAGGCCTCGTTTTCATGGGACTTCCGGTTTTTTCCTGTATGGAGATTCCCTGTTTGTTAAAAGTTGTCTTATTGAAGAAGGTTTGACACCCCGTATATCATGATTTCAGCAGTACCATAGTACTTATGTTTATTTGCAAATTTAAATAAACGTTGAAAACTTGTACATTGGCCACACGGCCTCAGTCAATGAATTTAAGTGAGAGTTTTATGAAAATTACAAACAAAAGAAGGCATTAAGCTCCAAATACCTCCCCAAACAACCAACAAAAACCAAATATCGACTCACCGAACCATTTGCTTTTAGCCAAAGAAAGGCACAATAACTTCTCTCAAACTATCTCTCCTATATAAAAACTGAAAACACTTACTCACCCGGGCACATGGCGATTCAAGCTTAAAAGTGTCATGTGACTAACGAAATCTCCCAAGGGAGTAGGGAGTGACACATGATGTATAAATATATGCTTATGAGCAAGGACAGCTCGCTTAGGAGCCTCCAAAGTTGCAAAACCAATGATCAAATTAGCCCCTGAAACATGAGTGGTTTCCTGAAACATGATTCTCAACAGACAGGTGTGAAACCCACAGGAAATCTATACAATTTATATAAGATGCTCTTCAGTCACACTAAGCACCTGTTACTTGAAGTCAAAGTTGTCAAAACTGAAATTTCCTCCTTTGTCCACAATTACCATGACAGACAGTCGTAAGTTGCCTTCTTTCAATCGAGGAAAGCTGATGGCAAGTGATGCTTCAGTTGTTTCTTGATGTTTTCGTGATGTAGCATTGTATCGTTCTGTACAATCTTGACACAAATGTACAAGTGTGGAACCTTCCATACATATCTTTCAATACTTGAGTATGTTTAGCACACTGGTTAAACATTCGAAACAAAGCTCTTGTAAGGAGAGATTTGAAAGCACTGGTTGGGGCTGCAACAAAGAATTTTCCAAAAGCTCCCTGTCACATAGGAGTACCTCCTCTATTCTGTCCAATTTATGTAATGACACTACAGAAGCAGCAGACTCTTTCAAATTCATGTAGCATTTATGATGGTAGTTGGAATGCCATGTAGTTGCTCTGAGGGAGTCCAGTTGAGAAAGAAAGGCCTGTATCAATAAGCCTCTAATTAGACTTCATGGGCGCTTGAGGCAAAGAAATCTAGCCTATGATTATTGGCACAATAGCTTGGAGGCCTTGTAAAAAATTTAAATCAGTACAGTGGAACCTTGATTTAACGAAGTGCCAGGGGACTGGGGTAATTGGTTCATTAAATTGAGGATTTGTTATATCGAAAAACCTCAATTTAACGAATTTGGGGAAAAACAACCAAAATGTTTGTTATATTGAGGTATGGTTAACAATTAAAAAAAAATTTGATTTTTCCAATTACCTCATGTTTTGTCTTTTATTAAAATGCATCTTTCATTCAAGAGGAGTGCAGAAATTCCCTTTCTTTTGTGTCTGACTTATTAAATGCAATAATTAACATAAGCTGTGTGTACAGCATTAATCGACAGTGTTTAGTACTGCACTGTACAGATTATTGAACTAAATTTGCTAATTACGTTAATTTAAAAATTCTTCCAGTGAGGTTTGCCTGTCTTTTTTCCCAGACTGCAACTGCAATGAGGAAGCAATGGAAGCGGGAACTGTCAAACTTTCTTTTGCTGCACTCTCTAGGGGTACTGTTTTCAGTATTAAGCATCGATTTAAACAAAAATATAAAAACACATGGTTTTCACATAGCAACATATGGCACGGTTATCGCAGGAAGTGCTGAAATTTAATTAACCTAATGAATTCACAACAGGATCAACATTCACAGGGATTGGGGGCTTGTGGTCTGCTGGTGTCTGTTGATGTTACTTTTTGTCTGGCATAAATGTCAACTACTGCAAAGGGATTGTGTTGGAGAGCAATGAGCACACCAACATATTCATTGCGAAGCTGTTTTTGAGGCTACCATGCATATCAGGATATCTGGGATGTAGTTGTTGGTGAAGTTCTGGATTGTGAAGTAAGTAACACTCTAGATTTCAAAGATGTGATTACAGTACTGTGCCCATGATAGAAACGAATTATTTCAAATCTATTTCCACCGCATGAGCCGGATAACCCATGTGACACTCATGCTATTGCCATTAAAGGGGTTCAATTGAGACCAGGAAGAGAAGCAAGAGATTGTGGGTAATGTGCCACTGACCCTTTAACAATAACAATAACATTTATTATTTGTATTGCGCCTTTTCTATAAAATATTCACAACAGTAATTAATAACTAAAATTATACAATTCTTTCTATAAAAGTCATAAATTGTATACATTTATTTACATTAAATTAATGAACGGTAATTACAAATAAAAATATAGATATACTAGGATAACTGAAATGATTCCTTAAATAAAAATGTCTTATGTAGAATCTTAAAAGATTCTAAGTCCGTTGCTTCCTGCACGGACCGTGGCAGCTTATTCCATAGGAAAGGAGCATCTACCAGGAAAGCTCTGTCACCCAATGTTTTCTTTTCACACTTGGTCTTTCCAGCAAACGACCATTATTGTTGCGCCTCAAATGGTAGGATGAAGGCTGTTGAATACTAATTAAATCTAAAGGTACTTAGGTGATAGGCCATGCAGAATTTTAAAAGTTATCAAGAGTATCTTATAATGTATCCTGAAGCGCACTGGTAACCACTGTAGTTCAGCGAGTAGAAGTGTAATATGACAGAACTTGTGCGCACGATATACAAGTCTCGCACTCGCATTCATAACACGTTGCAATTTCATAATTTGATATTCTGGGATTCCGTACAAAAGGCTATTACAATAATCCAGTCTACTACTAATAAAAGCATGAACTAATTTCTCAGTAGATTCCCTGGATAAATATTTCCTGATATGACGTACATTGTATAAATGATAGAAAGCGCTGCTACAAGTCTTTGTAATGTGAGCTCCCATATCCAGATGCGTATCGAACCATGTGCCTAGATTGCGC